TATATATACACATACAATTACATAATTTCACATATACCATTTTTCAAGCTCATGGGCAGGAATTGGGAGAACCGGCCTTAACAAAAATGGCCAAGTCCCAGAATTCTCTTCCTTTTTCTTTCATACAGCATCACAGCAGCCAAATTAGAGGATTTCTTACATAGTTAAACTTAAAACCCATTGCAAGGCTACCGGAATTCATTCCCCTCTTCCTAGTAGATTTTTCGGGCAACCCAAGCTAATTCACACAACCAATTAACCCACAAGGCAGCAATTAATCACCCAATTTTCAGAGATTAGAGAAGCTAACTTACCAAAAACCTCAACAAGTAAAGCTGGAGCTAGCGGTTATGGGAGGAGTCGGTGGGAAAATTGCAGGGGAGTCACGGAATGGCTAGAAATCGAAAGAACAACAAGATTAGAGTGAACCCAACACCAATCAAGTGAGAAGAGATGAATTCATGGCTGATTCATACCAAAAAACCGAAATCTCACACCCACACCAGTTGAAACCGGTGGCAGGGGAAGAAGACGCAGGGCAGATCTGGAATTTCTGGGTTGAGGGAGAGAGTTCTAGGCTTGAGACTTGGTTCTTGAGCAAGAAAGGAGGGAAATTTCAAGAGGCCTTCATCGTTTCTCAAGAGGAGGGAAATCGGTGGCTGGGAGGGAGGCTTTCGGGAGAGGAAGAATCGGGAAGAAAAACAGAGCAGACCGCGTGCAATGAGGAAGAAAAGAAAAATATCTAAGCTTGATCCTTATCCTAATTGGTTTTCTTTTTAGCCCCTTGACTTTTGAAAATTGATGATTAAGTTTAAAACATTATTTTCTCACAATCAGATCCCTAGCTTACACTTAATTGTTCTTGAAAATTTTGGGATATTACACAGACTTAATAGTTCCCCTTGCTCTGGTTCTTTTTATAAAGAAGAAAGATGGCTTACTAAGATTGTGTATTGACTATAGACGATTCAATCAAGTCACTGTAAAAAAACAAGTATCCATTGCCAAGAATTGATGACTTGTTTGATCAGTTACAAGAATCTCGTGTCTTTTACAAAATTAATCTGAGATTGGGCTACTCTTAGCTAAAGATTAAACCCAAGGATGTGATGAACACAGCCTTTAGAAGCAGATATAGACACTACAAGTTTCTAGTGATGTCGTTTAGTTAACCCAATGCCCCTACAACTTTTATGGATTTTATGAACAGGATCTTCAATTGTACCTAGTTAAGTTTGTCATTATCTTTATAGATGACATTCTTATTTTCTCTCTTGATGAAGAGAGCCACAAAGCGCATCTTGCCATTGTATTATAGATTTTGAGAGAAAAAAAGTTGTATGTCAAATTTGACAAGTGTGAGTTTTGGTTGAATCATATTAGTTTTCTAGGTCATATTGTTTCTAAAGAAAGCATATCAGTTAATCCTAGTAAGGTGGAAGTAGTTGTGAAGTGGGAAAGGCCAACTAGTGTCACAGAAGTGTAGAGTTTTCTTGGGCTAGCAAGATATTCTAAAAGATTTGTGGAGAGATATTCAAAGATTTCTAGTTTGTTAACACAACTGACTCATAAGAATCAGAAGTTTAAATGGACTAAAAAATGTGAGCAAAGCATTCAAGAGTTGAAAAATAGATTGGTCACAATGGCAATTCTTGCTTTTCCCAACAATGGAGGAAACTGTGTGGTATATACAGATGCTTCTCACAAAAGCTTGGGTTGTGTTCTCATGCAATATGGATGGGTGATAGCTTATGGGTTTAGACACATGAGAAGAACTACCTTACACATGATTTAGAACTTGCTACTATAATTTTTGTACTTAAGTTGTGGAGGCACTATTTATACAGTGAAGAGTTTGAGGTACATACCGATCACCAAAGCTTGAAGTATTTATTTTCATAAAAAGAGCTCTACTTGAGACAAAAAAGATGGGTGAAGTATCTGAATGATTATATATGCAAAGTCATCTACCAACCTGGAAAGGGAAATATGGTTACAGATGCACTTAGTAGAAAATCAATTAGCACCTTAACAAGCTTAATGGTGATGGAGTGGAAAGTCTCAAAAGATTTCAAAGATTTGAATGTTAGATCTTTGTCACCCAAGTCTAATGTACTAGTGTCTAGCTTAATTGTTCAACCTACATTGTTATCAAAGATTAGGGAAGCACAACAAAAAGATTCAAGATTGATGGAGTTGATGAAAGACAATAAGAAAAGCTCTAAAATAAGTCTTCATATTTCGGATGATGGAATTATAAGACTTGGAGAAAAAATTTGTGTTCCATATGATGAAGAATTAAGGACAAAATTGCTCCAAGAAGCATACAAGTCCAATTACACCATCCATCTTGGGAGTACCAAAATGTATCATGACTTAAATGAAACATTTTGGTGGAAAAGCATGAAGAAAGATATGGCTAAATATGTGTCCAAGTGCTTGACTTACCAATTGGCAAAAGTAGAGCACTAAAAGCCAAGAGGGCAAGTTCAACCTTTGCTTATACTAGAGTAGAAGTGGGAAGCCATTTCAATGGACTTCATTGTGGGATTGTCGAGGACATGAAGCCAGTTAAATGCAATTTGGGTGATTGTGGATAGATTAACAAAGTCAAGTCACTTTTTTACCATAAAACAAAAAAACCTATTGGATAGGTTGGCCAAGCTTTATGTTTGGGAGATTGTTAAACTCCATAGAGTTCCAGTAAACATTGTATCAGATAGAGATCCAAGGTTTATTGCAAGATTTTAGAGATTTTTTCCAAAAGCCATGGGAACTCAATTGAAATTAAGCACATATACCACCCACAAATTGATGGGTGGTTTGAAAAGACTATTCAAGTGCTTGAAGACATGTTGAGAGCTTGTGCATTAGATTTGCCTAAGAGTTGGGATGATCATCTTCCATTGGCAAAGTTTGCTTATAGTAATAGTTATCATTCTAGTATTAAAAAGGCACTTTACGAAGGTCTTATGGTCGGAGATGTAGAACTCTAATTTCTTTGGCAGAAATTGGTTATGGACTACTAAAGGGGCCTAATTTTGTGTAACAAATAACAAAAAAAGTGAAATTGATTCAACAAAGGCTTAAAGTGGCTCAAGATAAACAAAAGAGCTATGCAAATAATAGAAGAAGACTTTTGGTACTTGAAGTTGGAGGTCATGTATTTTTGAAATTGTCACCAACCAAGGGAGTGTATAGATTTGGTTTAAAAAGAAAACTTAGTCTGAGATATATCGGCCCATTCGAGATTCTTGAAAGAGTGGGTGAAGCGGCTTATAGAATTACATTGCCTTCGAAGTTGTCAAATATGCACAATGTGTTTAGTATGTTTGTTTTTAGGAAGTATGAGCTAAATCTTTCACATGTCATTAATCGTGAGCCATTAAAGTTGAAGGAGGATTGAGTAACACCAAGCAACTAGTGCAGATCTTAGACAGAAAAAAAAAAAGTTTTGAGGAACAAGATCGTGCCTTTGGTAAAGGTGTTGTGGCAACATCATAATGAAAATGAAGCTACATGAAAGTTTGAAAGTCAGATGAATGTGCAATATCCACATCTATTCTGGTAGGCTTAATGATTTGGTGGACCAAATCCATTTAAGGTAGGGAGGTTGTAACACCCCATATACTTTAGTGAATATATTAGAAATTAGAGTCTTTTATTTTATAGTTTTAGGGAGTAAATTATTAGATTTAGAGTTTGGGAGTTGTAAGTGAAATTTAGAAGAAGTTGAAGGATGTTTAACTCAATTATCCCAATTTTAGTGCCAAGTGGCACTATGTCTATGTAATATCCCAAATTTTTGGGAATTTTATCATTTAAGTTAGGGACTTATTTTGGAAAAAATATTATTTGGGGCCTAATAGTGAATATTTCTAAACTTGAGGGACTTAAAAGAGGAAAGAAATTAGGATAAGGATGGCTGATTTTTTTTCCTTTCTTTCTTCTTCCTTATCCGCGCGTCCTGCTTTCCTTCTTCTCCCTTGCAGCCGGCAAAGAGCCCCAGCCACCGACTGCACCTCCCCTTGAGAAACTCGGCAAAATCTTAAATTTTTCCCTTCTTTTCTTGTTCTAGAACACATATAGAATCCAGAAATCTCCCCCCTGTAGAGAAATTTTCAGATCTGCTGCTGCCTTCTCCCTCCTTTGCCGTTGGTTGCTGTTGTGGGTGTGATTTTTCTGGTTCTGGTAAGGGGAAATAGCCATTAATTCCTCTTTTCTTCCTTGAATTGGCTTGGGTTTACTCTAATTCCTCTTGGTTTCTCCCAATTTTCGGTAGATTTCCCAAATTCTCCCCAAATTCTAGCCGGCTCCCCCAAACCCGCCAGCTCCGGCCTTGCTTGTTGAAATTTTGGTATGTTGACAGCTCCTCCAAGCCCGAAATTTCATCAATTAATTGCTGCCCTGTGTTGTTAAATTTTATCCATGTGATTGCTGCCCTGTATCTTCGAATTTTCTACTTTTAATCTGCTCCTACGCTATTGGAAGTTTCTACTGGAAGAGGGAAGAATTTCGACAGCATTAGGTTGCCTTTTTTTTAGTTTAATTTATGTAGAATTTCCTTGAATTGGCTGCTATGATGCTATCTATGAAGATCCCGTGTCTTAGCCTCTGTTTTTACAAAAGACAAATGATTGACATACAAGCCATGTTTTGCCATTTTGTGTCCGTGGGATTGGGAAACCAAATTGGTGAAATTTGGCTCTAAAACCTCTTGTTTAAGAGATTTTTGGATATTAGGATTTTATTTAAAAATATTTGGGATTTTGGGGAGATATACGATTGAGAAAAAGGGAGTTTTATATCATGGTTGAATTTCGTGTGAAGCTCATCGGTTAGTAAATTTGCGAGGTTGTGCTAATAATTCTAGTAAAGTCTGAATGTATTTATTTGGAATATTAGGTGCTGTTATGGCTTAGAGCACTTGGATTGAGTCCTGGGTTTTATGCGATTTAAGGTAAGTAAATTATGGTAACACCCTCCGATTTTAAAGCACATTTTAGCTTGTTTTTGAAGTGGTAGCAGGACTAAAACCGTTCTACACAAGTATGATCGATTTAAAATGAAATTATTATTCTTTTTATTGATTTGAGCATGCCTTCTTGGAGTTTACTGAACTGCCCTGATGATTTGAAAATTATTTGTGAATTATGATTTTTTTGTTAACTTTTGCCTGGTTTTGTCTCCGATATAGTCATGTTATTCGTGTGCCCACTAGTGGGAGGTTTATAAATGCTAGCACATGTCAACATGTATTTCTGTAGAGCCGGTTCCTCCTGCCAGTGGGAGTTGTTAAACACTGGTATTTCTGTAATCCTGCTAGTGGGATTATACACTAGTAAATCGTGTGCCTTTCAGCAAGAGGTTTATAACACTGGCCATGACCTATAGAGGAGACATCTATTTCATTTTCGTACTCATATCTGTTTTTCATGATTCAACTTGTTGGCATGCTATAAGTTTAATTAAGGGCTATCCATATTTACTTACTGAGTTATGTCATAGTTTTTTTTTTGTCCACTATTTCAAAAAGTGTAGTCAAGGACGGGGAAAAACGAGGGGAGTGACAAGTTAGAAGGCTAGCCATCTTGTAAATTGAACATAGATTTTAGGTATAAATCATGAGCTTGTAAGCTAGACTTTATTTGGAGATTTTATGATATCAGATTAAATTTTAAAATTTTATCTTCAGATTTTGTGGTATTAGATTGTGGTTTGATAAAGTTCTGAGTCTTGTGCATTTGTGGGACCCTCTCACAAGTGTACGGCATTTGCCGCATCCTCGAATTTGGGTTTTGGGGCGTGACAGTCTACCAAGTAAAACAATTTTCTTGGACTTAAAATAGAAGTCTCCCAAACCAACCATTCCTCTGCATCTTTCTTTCTTCCAGCCAGTCTTTGCACCCTTTTTTTTTTTTTTCCAGCCATGTGCGATTTGTTGGGACACATTCTCCAGTTGAAATTCCTTTTGATTTCTACGGTTTATCTCAACTTGGTGCTTTGATTTCCATATGTAAGTATGAGTTTTAACTATAGATTTGAGGTTAGAGTTTTAGATAAATTATAGATTTACTATAATATACTAAAAATTAGTTTAAATTAGTGAGATTTGACCCTAAGTCCTTAGTTTGACAGACTTTTTGGGCATTAAAATTTTGTTATAACTATATGATATTTTTGGGGGTTGTACAGGATAGAATCCATAATGAGTTTTATTTTTCATACTTGAATTTAGTGTAAATTTTATTGTTAAATACTGTTGTTGTTGCTTTGTATCCCTTACATATTTTATGTGAAGATCTCTTGGGTATTTCCATGATTAAATAACAATCCATATAGTTAATTGGACTTTGCTTGGACTGTGCGTGAATATGGAGGGGAATTAGTTTTTCTTAATTAACTGTTCATGCGCTAAACTTTAATTATTTTGAGTAGAAAATCTTGTGGAATATGTGAGTTATGCATGTGGAGATTAATGTGAATCCTTTTAGAATGCCATTGACTAAGTAAAATATTAAATGAAACAATATTCTTATATTATTTTGAATATGTTTTCAATTTGGTTGACACATGTATCTGTTTGTAGTTATGGAGTAAGTGGACCTAAACTTAAAGTTTGGGGTATTCAGTGAACCTCTGCATAGTAGGGTGAATACTGTAATTAGCTCCAGTACAAATGTTGCTAGCACACATCAGTAAACTTCATAGCATTGTGTGATTTGTGTGATTTTTGTTTGATGCATTTTGCTTGTGACATCACGTTTTTGAGCATATGGTTTTATGATATGAATTTGATTTAGATGTCATTGGTTATTCCTTGATATGTTTGATTGTTTATGAACTAATTTGTGATTTTAAATTATTATTTAAATTCTAAGATTTATAATATTATGTGGCTTGGTTTAATTGTCTATCATGCTCTCTATGTGTGTAGGTTTAAGGGTCTTAGGACCCAAGTTTGTAACTTTAATTTAATATTTACTTGACTTTTAGCTCATGATATTTCCCTCCTCATTTTAAATCAATAGATTAGAGTAGCAGTCACTGTTACATCCCCTTTTTAGTAAACCAGACATGTTGGGAAATGTACCCCACAAGATAAAAAAAATAACAGCAAAAAATATCTATAAGAAAGGATTGCAGCGGAAGTAAAAAAAAAAACTCTTCTAACATATAATGTTTCCTTATGAGAAAAACCCACTTTCAAATAATTTTTAATTTTGTGGAAAGAAATCAATTACTTGTAAAGGAAAACTAATTTAATGGAAAATATCTTAAGGTAAATATCAAACTACTGAAAGTTATAAAATAAGTCAGGCTATACCCATTTAAATTAATCTTAATGTCATATATACAAAAGTAATTTATACAAAAAATATATATGAGAGCAATTGCTTTTCAAAATATTTTCTAAAATAATAAAAGCAAAATTATTGTTTTGGTAATACGTTAATCCGCCTTCACATCAGAAGCACTGAGGTCGGCATATGAGATTTATCCTAAAAGCTCTCAAGCTGAGTGGTTGCTATTCCAATCTACTAATCTAAAATTGGGGAGGAATATCATGAGCTAAAAAGTCCAGTAAGTCTAAGTTTAAACTACAAACTTGAGTCCTAAGACTATTAGACCTACACACATTAAAAGCATAACAGATAATCAAATTAACCCACATAATATTATAAATCCTAGTATTTAAATAACAATTTAATGTCACTAATTTAATTCACAAATAATCAAACATATTAAGAAATAACCAATGACATTTAAATCAATCCATATCATAAAATCTTATACTCATGAATGTGACGTCACAAGCATAATGCATAAAATTGAAAATCACATAATGCTATGAAATCCACTAATGTGTGCTAGCAACACTTGTACCGAAGCTAATCATGGCACTTACCCTACTGCGCAGAGGTCCACTAAATACCCCGAAGGGTCCACTGAATACCCCAAGCTTTAAGCTTATGTTCACTTACTCCATACCCACAAACACATGCACATGTCAAAGAAATTCCAAACATATCCAAGAATAATGTAGGAATAAAATTCCATCCATTAATCCATTAAAATTTTTCACATAATTCACATAGCTTAACCTCATGTTTAAGACATACAAAACATAACACTTAATCATCCAATGAAATAAATGCAATTTAAAGCCATTCACTTTAAATTCCTAATACTTATTCACCGTTTCACCCACCAAAATTTAGAATTGTTTTCTTATTTTAACCATGAAAATTAATGAATAATTAGTCAACCAAAACTAAGCACACTAGTCACGGGTAGCATCTCCAATTAAGCTTAATCATGAAATTTCTAAAAGTATTCACATAAATGTACAAAGAAATATCAAAACAGCCATAACAAGTAAATAACCAGTAAAATTCACACATGATTCCAAGCGTAAAACTAAAACCCACTTCAAATCTCAAACCGTACATATGCCCAAAATTCCCAAAATTGCTAAACAAAATTCTAATACCCAAAATCTCTTAAACAAAGGCTTTAGAATCCAATTTTATTAATTTAAACTAATTTTTAGTTTATTGTAACAAATCTATAACCTACCCAAAAAACTCTAACCCAAATTCATAACTTAAAACTTATACTTACTTGGAAATCAAAGCACCAAACTCAAACAACCAGCAAAAATTGAAAGAGATTTCACAAGAGGGTGCGTCCCACACATCCCACTTAGCAACCAAGGGAGAAAAAGCGTAGAGGACTGGCTGGAATAAAGGGGAAGGGTGCAGGGAGGATGGGTTCGAGTGTTCAAAGCAAAAAAAAAAGGGATTTTTTTCTTCCTAAAAGCTTCTAAAGGAAGACTCACGGGATTCTAAAGTGTTCCCAGCCCAAACTTGGTATATATTGTGCTACATGTCTCCAAATTTGGCTAAAATAGTTGGATGGTCTCTAACTATCTCAAGATTTCACATAAATCCACATATTCTAAATCTAACCAATTTAGTCCCTAAAATATTAAAATAAAGGACTCAAATTTTTAATTTATTCACTAAAGTATATGGAGTGTTACAGTCACCAACTTGAGAGTTTTCAGTATAGGTCCCATATACTTGTTGTACATAGAAGCTAGCTAAGACCTTACTGCTTTTGATGTGAAGACAGATCAATGTGTTACTAAAATGATGAATCTGCTTTTATTATTTTGGGAAGTTTTTGAAAAGTATTTGCTCTCATGTAATTTTTTTTTATGTAAATTTCTTTTATGTAAATTTCTTTTATGTATATAATATTTAAATTAATTAAAATGGGCTTAGCCTAGCTTATTCTACAACTTTGAGTATTTTGATATTTTTCTTAGGATATTTTTCATTAAATTAGTTTTTTTTACAAGTAATTGATTTGAAAACAAGTTTTTCTTTTAAGGAAACATTTTATACTATAAGAATTTTTACTTCCGCTGCAATCTTTTCTATAGTTCTAATTTCATGAATCCTCCAAGATTAAGGGTACCTAAGGGAGGTGTATTACATGTTTTGGTATTAGAGCCAAAGTTTTGCTAATACATTGATTTGTCATGTGGATTAGAGTCTTGTGTCGTAGGATTAGATTTTGCCTAACTATTAGTTTTTGTACTCTTTGCTTACATTAGTACCAAAGGAGAAAACACTTCTACCTTTACTGTTATTGATGATGTGAATGCCAGAATGGATGTAATGCAAAAAGCCATTACAAATATGAGCTCTATTTTTAGGGAGTATCTTCTACACCAAAACAATAATAACGCCCAATAGAATATAGGTGGTAATTCACAGCAAAAAATGGACTCAAGGGAAGGAAATGAATAGTTGACATTGGTGAAGTAATTTCAGAATATGAATTTGCCTAGCTTCAAGGGAGTTCTCGATCCCAATGTGGTTGAGTCTTGGGCTAAGAAACTAGAGAAGATGTTCAAGCTTTTCAAGTGTACTAATGGGCAAAAAGTGGACTTAGCAGTGTTCACATTAGAAGGTGAAGCTAATGATTGGTGGACAAGATGGGTTCACTAAGAGAGGGGAAGAGGTTACATGGGACAAGTTTGCTTAAGCTTTTTGCTAGAATTATTTTTCTAAAGCTGTTTTGGAAAGAAAAGAGTTAGAGTTCATGAATTTGAAGCAAAGTGACATGACAATTGATGAGTATCAAGTTAAGTTCAACTCTTTTGTAAAGTTCGCTCCTCACATTGCCAATGATGAAGCTAAGAAGGCAAGGAAGTGTCAGAAAGGGTTGAAGGTTTCCATTAGGAACAAGGTGGTTCCTTAAAGGCTAAAGACTTATGATGAGGTATTAGCCATAGGTCAAATAATTGAGCAAGACATGGATGAGTAGAAGATGGAGACTCAAGACCAAAAGGGCAAGGGAAAGGCTACCAACAACCAGCCTTTCAATAAGAAGTTTGATCAAAGAGGAAAAAGGAAGATTCTTAAATACAACAAACAAACTTTTGATTCTTGCAAGAGTTGTGGTAAGAACCATGGAGGAAAGGAATACTATTGGCAAACTAGAGCATGTTTCAAATGTGGGAAGACTGGCCATTTGATCAAGGATTGCCCGGTTCTTAAGGGAGTAAAGCAGCAATCAAATGAGCAAAATAACAAGAGGCCAAGGGTTCAAGGATGAGTTTTTGCTATCATTAAACAACAAGTTCAGAACACTCCTACATTGATAAAAGGTAAAATACCTATCTCATTTAGGAATGCCTATGTGTTGATGGACTTTGGATCTACCCACTCATTTGTGTCACCTAAGTATGTGCCACTGTTACATGTGGAGCCTGAGACCCTTGATTGTGTGCTTGTGGTGAATACTCCTTCTAAGGAGGTTTTAACATCAAGAACCATATATAGATCCTATAGAGTTATGATAGAGGGTAGAGTCTTGCTTGCCAATCTAATTTTGCTAGGTATAGTGGAATTTGATGTCATACTTGGTATGGACTAGTTGTTTACCCATTATGCCATGGTTGATTATTATCAAAAGGTGGTTACCTTTTCTGCTTCTAATTAACTAGTGATTCGATTTGAAGAAGAAAAAGTTGGATCGTTTCCATTATTGGTTTCTTACATGCAAGCTGATAAAATGTTGCTACATGAATGTTATGGATATCTAGCATATGTTTTTGAGTTTAAAGACAAGCCAATGTCTGTGGAAGGAATTCAAGTAGTGGAAGACTTTCCTGATGTTTTCCCTAAGGAGTTGCTTGGTTTACCTCCTGATGGGGAGATTGAATTTATTATAGACCTTGTGCTTGGTACTTCACCAATATCCCAGCAACCTTATAGAATGGCTCCAGCAAAATTAACTGAGTTGAAGAAGTAGTTACAAGAGCTTTTTGATAAAGGGCTTATCAAACTTAATACTTGCCCTTGGGGTGCTTTGGTTCTTTTTGTAAAGAAGAAAGATGGCTCACTTAAATTGTGCATTGACTATAGATGGTTGAATTAAATCATCGTAAAAAATAAGTATCAATTGCCAAGAATTGATGACTTGTTCGATTAGTTACAATGAGCTTATGTCTTTTACAAAATTGATCTTAGATTGGATTGCTATTAGCTAAAGATTAAACCCAAAGATGTGATGAAGATTGCCTTTAGAAGCAAATATAGACACTACTAGTTTCTAGTAATGCCATTTGGTTTAACCAATGCCCCTAAGGCTTTTATGGATCTTATGAATAGGATCTTTCAATTGTACCTAGTTAAGTTTGTCATTGTCTTGATAGATGACATTCTTATTTTCTCTTGATGAAGCAAGCCACAAGGCGCATCTTGCCATTGTATTGTAGATTTTGAGAGAAAAGAAGTTGTATGCCAAGTTTGACAAGTGTGAGTTTTGGTTGAATTAGATTAGTTTTCTAGGTCATATTGTTTCTAAAGATGGCATATCAATTGATCCCTAGTAAAGGGGAAGTAGTTGTGAAGTGGGAAAGGCCGACTAGAGTCACAGAAGTGCAAAGTTTTCTTGGACTAGCAAGATGTTATAAAAGATTTGTGGAGGGATATTCAAAGATTCCTAGTTTGTTAACACAACTCACTTGTAAGAATCAGAAATTTGAATGGATTGATAAATGTGAGCAGAGCTTTCAAGAGTTGAAGAATAGAATGGTCATAATGCCAATTCTTATTATTCCCAACAATGGAGGAAACTTTGTGGTATATATAGATGCTGCTCACAAAGGCTTAGGTTGTATTCTTATACAATATGGATGGGTGATAGCTTATGGGTCTAAACAACTCAAGATACATGAGAAGAACTACCCTCCACATGATTTAGAACTTGCTGCTATAATTTTTGCACTTAAGTTGTGAAGGCACTATTTATATGGAGAAGAGTTTGAGGTACATATCAATCACCAAAGCTTGAAGTATTTATTTTCACAAAAAGAGCTCAACTTGAGACAAAAAAGATGGGTGAAGTATTCGAATGTTTATATATGCAAAATCATCTACCAACCTGGAAAGGGAAATGTGGTTGTAGATGCACTTAGTAGAAAATCAATGGTGATGGAGTGGAGACTCTTAGAAGAATTCAAAGATTTGAATGTCAAATCTTTGTCACCCAAGTCTAATGTACTAGTGTCTAGCTTAATGGTTCAACCTACATTGTTATCAAAGATTAGGGAAGCACAACAAAAAGATTCAAGATTGATGGAGTTGATGAAACACAATAAGAAGAGCTCTAAAATAGGCCTTCATATTTCAGATGATGGAATTATAAGACTTGGAGATAAAATTTGTGCTCCATATGATGAAGAATTAAAAGACAAAATTGCTCCAAGGAGCATGCAAGTCCAATTACAGCATCCACCCTTGGAGTACCAAAATGTATCATGCCCTAAAAGAAACATTTTGGTGGAAAAGCATGAAGAAGGATATGGCTAAATATGTGTCTAAGTGCTTGACTTAACAATTGGTAAAAGTAGAGCATTAGAAGCTAAGAGGGCAACTTCAACCTTTGCTTATACTAGAGTGGAAGTGGGAAGCCATTTTAATGGACTTCATTGTGGGATTGTTGAGGACATGAAGTCAGTTTGATGCAATTTGGGTGATTGTGGCTAGATTGACAAAGTTAGCTCACTTTTTGGCCATAAAACAAAGGATCCATTGGACAAGTTCGTCGAGCTTTATGTTCAAGAGATTGTTAGACTCCATAGAGTTTTACTGAGCATTGTATCAAATAGAGATCCAAGGTTTATTGCAAGATTTTGGAGATCTTTTCAAAAAGCCATGAGAACTTAGTTGAAATTAAGCACACATACCACCCACAAACTGATGGGTAGCCTGAAAAGACTATTCAAGTGCTTGAAGATATGTTGAGAGCTTGTGCGTTAGATTTGCCTAAGAGTTGCGATGATCATCTTCCATTGGCAAAGTTTGCTTATAATAATAGTTATCATTCTAGTATTAGAGTGGCACCTTATAAAGCTCTTTACGGCAGGAGATGTAGAACTCTAATTTGTTGGACAGAAGTTGGTTATGGACTACTAAAGGGACCTAATTTTGTGCAAAAAACAATAGAAAAAGTGAAATTGATTCGACAGAGGCTTAGAGTGACTCAGGATAAACAAAAGAGCTATGCAGATAATAGAAGAAGACCTTTGGAATTTGAAGTTGCAAATCATGTATTTTTGAAGTTGTCACCAACCAAGGGAGTGTACAAATATGGTTTGAAAAGAAAACTCAGTTCGAGATATATCGGCCCATTCAAGATTCTTGAAAGAGTTGGTGAAGTGGCTTATAGAATTGCATTGCCTTCAGAGTTGTCAAATGTGCACAATGTGTTTTGTGTGTTAGTTTTAAGGAAGTATGAGTCGGATCCTTCACATGTCATTAATCATGGGCCATTAAAGTTGAAGGAGGATTTGAGTTACACCAAGCAACTAGTGCAGATCTTAGATAGCAAAGAAAAAGTTTTGGGGAACAAGACCGTGCCTTTAGTTAAGGTGTTGTGGTAGCATCATAATGAAAATGAAGCTACATGGGAGTTTGAAGGTCAAATGAAAGAGCAATATCCACATCTATTCTGGTAGGCTTAATGATTTGGTGGACCAAATCTTTTTAAGGTGGGGAGGATGTAACACCCCATATACTTTAGTGAGTATATTAGAAGTTAGAGTCCTTTATTTTATAGTTTTAAGGAATAAATTATTAGATTTAGAGTTTGGGAGTTGTAAGTGAAATTTAGAAGTTGAAGAATGTTTAATTCAATTATCCCAATTTTTTGTGCCTAGTGGCACTATATCTACCAAGTAAAACAATTTTCTTGGACTTAAAATAAAAGTCTCCCAAACCAACCTTTCCTCTACATCTTTCCTTTTTCCAATCAGTCCCTTGCACCCTTCTTTCTTTTTCCAACCGAGTGTGATGTGTGGGGACACACTCTCCAGTTGAAATTTCTTTCTTTCAATTTCTGCGATTTGCCTCAACTTGGTGCTTTGATTTCCATAGGTAAGTATGAGTTTTAGATATAGATTTGGGTTAGACTTTTGGGTGAATTATAGATTTACTATAATATACTAAAAATTAGTTTAAATTAGTGAGATTTTACCTTAAATCCTTAATTTTGTTAAAAATATATGATATTTTCGGGGCTTGTATGGGATAGAATCCATAATGAGTTTTATTTTTCGTACTTGAATTTAGTGAAAATTTTATTGTTAAATACTACTATTGTTGCTTTGTATCCTTACATATTTTATGTGATGATCTTTTGGGTATTTCCATGATTAAATAAGAATCTATATAGTTAATTAGACTTTGCTTGGACTATGCATGAATATGGAAGGGAATTGGTTTCTCTCAATTAACTATTCATGCACTAAACTTTAATTATTTTGAGTAGGAAATCTTGTGGAATATGTGAGTTATGCAAGTGGATATTAATGTGAATCTTTTTAGAATGCCACTAACTAAGTAAAATGTTAAATGAAATAATATTCTTATATTATTTTGAATGTGTTTTGAATTTGTTTGACATATGTATATATTTGTGGTTATAGAGTAAGTGGACCTAAGCCTAAAGCTTGGGGTATTCAGTAAACCCTTCGAGGTATTTAATGGATGTCTACACAGTAGGGTGAGAGCCTGATTAGCTCCGGTATAAGTGTTGCTAGCACACAAAAGTGGACTCTATAGCATTGTGTGATTTTTGTTTTATGGATTTTGCTTGTGCCATCACATTTGTGAGCATATGGTTTTATGATATGAATTTGATTTAGATGTCATTGGCTATTCCATGACATGTTTGATTGTCTATGAACTAATTTGTAATATTAAATTATTATTTAAACACTAAGTTTACAATATTATGTGGCTTGGTTTAATTGTTTATTATGCTCTTCATGTGTGTAGGTCTAAGGGTCTTAGGATGCAAGTTTATACCTTTAACTTAATATTTATTGGGCTTTTAGCTTATGATATTTTCCCTTCTCATTTCAAATCAATAGATTGGAGTAACAATCATCAACTTAAGAGCTTTCGGTATAAGTCCCATATGCTCGTTGTACATAGAAGTTAGGACCTTAGTGCTTTTTATGTGAAGGCAAATCAATACGTTTACCAAAACAATGATTTTGCTTTTATTATTTTGGGAAGTTTTTGAAAAGCATTTGCTCTCATGTATTTTTTTTGTGTAAATTGCTTTTATGTATATAATATTTAAATTAATTAAAATAGGCTTAGCCTAGCTTATTCTATAACTTTGAGTATTTTGATATTCTGCTTAAGATGTTTTTTATTAAATTAGTTTCCTTTACAAGTAATTGATTTTCTTTCTATAAAGTTTTTAATTGATTTGAAAGTTGGTTTTTCTTCTAAGGAAACATTTTATACTAGCAGAGTTTTTACTTCCATTGCAATCTTTTTTATATTTCTTATTTCAAGACTCCTCCAAGACTAAGGGTAGCTAAGGGAGATGTATTACACCTATGTATTACACCTATATATTCCAAAAATTGATTTTGGGCAAAACTATCAAGAAAGTAAGTAGTAAACCTATGACAATGCAGTTAGTCAAGTGGCAGTGACTATCTTTGGAAGATGATTCTTGGGAATTAATAGAAGATATCTAAGCTTGATTTCCAACATTTGATCCTTGAGGATAAGGATTATTTGAAGGGAGGGTAACTGGTAAAACTCTATTTGATTGTTGACATGGCTTGCTAAGCAGCTAGTTTCGGCAGAGCTAAATATTGTTAATAGTTCTTAATGAGTTAGTCAGTATGATATCAATGTAACTAGATGTAAATGACACAAAAGAATTACAACTTCCATTACATAAGTACCTATAACTATATGGAATTCATCATTAAAAATGAGAAATTAAAGTCTTCCTACTCCTATTTCTATCTCTACTTTGTCCTTCTTCACAAATTCTTTTTTTTTTTTTCCTTCTCTCTTGATTTCTAATTCCTATCACAAGCCATCATTGCCGATTGTGCCCTGAGCTTCTCTTTGATTTGCTATTTTATACCATTGCTCTATGATATCACTGCTATCATTCAACACGTTCACAATAATGTTCTTGGTATCTTTAGCCATTGAAAGTGTGATTAAATCATAGTATTGTGATTTATTGGAAAGAAAATATGAGAGCATGTGGGGATAAGACTCACAAAGAAGAAGGTCAGGGTTAGATAAGAGAAAGTAGCCTAGTGCTTGGGGATTAGTCATTACAAAGGAATTGACTTCTAAACCCTAACCCTAGTAGAAAGAGAAGGGAAAAGTTGTATACAATTTAATTACTTATGGTTAGTTGTTGGTACACAGGAAAGCCTTTAGTTTTAAAATTTGCATATAACATAATTGTGGTTTAAGGTAGATGTAGATAAAGACTTGAAATTTTAAAATATGCACATAAGCACTTGATGTTTGCACTAGGTGCACATAACCACTTGAGATTACATGAAACGTCCTAAATACCCTTATTTTCTTTTCTTTTTATTTCTTTAAGTTGGGCCTTTAAGATATTTTAAGAAATTTCAAGTGCTTATTTGCACCTAATGCAAACCTCAAGTGTTAATGTGCCCATTTTGAAACGTTAGGTCTTTATGTGCACATACCCAAAACTAAAGATATATTATGTACATATTTTATAACCTTAAGTTTTTATTTGCATTTAAGTCAAATCACAAATAACTAAATTATATTTTCTCCTAGGTATTGATTGTTAATAGGTATTTAGACCACCCATTAGAAGCAATTTGTTTAGTCTACTTGTTTTGTTTAAAATTTTTTGGTATGTGAGTGGAAGAGTGAAAAAGTTGCAAATTCAATTCCAAATGAAATTTGCACAAACTTGGCATCAACTCAAGAGGTAAATATGGATGTAAATTATGTTTGAGAATGCAAATTTGAGTTCCTCTATTGACATTTAAATACAAATAATTCCAATTAGCAATATTTGTCACTTTTGAAAATAAAATTTCGTCATTTATTTTTTGAATAAGATAGTTTGTAAATATTGTATGATATAGTTTATGTTATTAGAAAAAAAATAAATAAATAAGAAGCACGACATCACTTGAAAGAATGGATAAGTTTAGATGAAGCAATGGCAACAAAATGTGGTGTCATGATATATGATGACCCATGTTAGTAAGAAAAGTAGTTCCTCACGATGGATTATAATTCAAAATTGATATTGTTGAAAAGGATTATGAGTAAGAGTCACCCCACTTTTATCAACATCGCAAACCTCATTTTTATTCCATTTTTACTAACTAGAATTTAGTTAAATTGTTTTTTTATTGATTTAAAATTTTTAATTTAAAATTAATATTAGGATTTAAACCTCCAATATAACAAAAAATTAAAAGAAAAAAAATTTTATTTATTTGATTTCTTCAACCCCTATAATCAAATGTTAGAGTAGGTCTCTCGTGCCAATGAAACAAAAATGAAATGCTAGAGTGGGTCTTATCATTTTCAATATTTTTAATGGCATCCTTTAGGTTTAATTTTCTTGCAATTTCATCCCTACATATCAGTATGTTTAAATAATAGTAATACACTTGAAACTAACACAAAACACCAACATTACTTTTTTTTTCCCCCGAAATTTCTGTTAATATTTAACAAAAAGAATTCGTGATTTAGAAGGTTAACTGTTCACACCCAGGCCACATGGTGTAAGTACATTTTCCCCATTCAATTATGCAGCCCCCCTAAACCACATGACAAGATTGCTAAAAATAAAACTGAGAAGAAGAGTAAAGCTGTTGATAAGAAAACAAATTTTGCTATCTTTTTCTTTAAGAATAAAAACTTTTTAAGTTTTTAAATTGGACAATAAACTTCTAATTTTTTCTATTTAAAAAAATAACTTTATTTTTTTTTTATTTAAGACCATAAACTTCACTCAATTTTAATTAAGATTGTCCTTTACCACATCATCTTCACCATTCAATAAATTCTTAAGTAAAAAAAATGATAAAATTCATATCTTTATCTATACTTTTTCTCCCACTTAAATGAAAAGATTTGAAAACCATCCTTCGATATATAATAGCATTATTCAAGTTTTATATAACTAAAAAAATCCTGCTCCAACTTATTTCTATCCAAAAAGAGCAAACTCAATAGTATCCTCGGAAAATTGCCCAGGTGTGCTTATTCTCCTTTTGTTAATTTGCCCACTAGGAAAAAAAAATAAAAAAACAACGCAGAAACTTTGCAGGAGTGCGGTTATTGGTGCTGAATAATTTGCCCCCTTCTAAATTTCTAATATAGCTGTAGTTGGGTATAAATGACTGTCAGAAGAATATACGATGACTTCCCCAGAATATGGTTTAGGAAGATTTTGTGACCTCATGAATAGCATTTGCCAAATATCCAACATTGCCCGTAGTAACACCAGCCATGCTGCATTTAACCATGTTAGCTAAGTCTTGGTGATCACATGCTTGGGAAGATAAGTTGCAAACTAAACCAGGTTTGAGATATTACCTGATGCGACCATTGCGAGTCATATAAATATGAAATTCACTTGTCAAGTGATCAACTTGCTCGGGTGTCATCCCACTATAACAGAACATTCCAATCTGCTTGCAGAGAAAAGAATAACTGTTGACAACCATTGAATAAATGAAGAGAACAGATTGGTTATCAACGAAAAAAACACTACTAATGAGCAATGAAATTAACAGATTCAACAACCTGTTTGGTAATGTGTTCCCATGATAATGGTGAGCCCAATTTTTCCAGGTTTTCTTGTAAAGCAGCTCTCATTCCAATGATTCGATCTGCCATCACCTAGGACAAAAATGTTGGTTAAATTTAGATTCCTTTCTAAAAGTAATCATGATAGAGTTGAGTTAAAAAAATAAACAGAAGGTTATATTCACTTTGTCTGAAAGCAAAGTATCATAAAGTAAGAATTTTAATGAAAGTCTTCTGAAATCAAGTGCATCAGATAATAAGAGAGTTTTCATGGCTGCATAACTGGCCCAAACCATGGCTGTAAATTTTCATGGCAGATCTAATGTGGAAATGTGCAAAAATTTTAGTTCTAGATCTCTGTTACTAGATAACCAATTTGCATATTCTTCACTTTATTATTGTAGATTTCTAGTTAATAACTTTTCTTCATTAAAGTTTTTGTGGTGAAAAAAAAGGCCAACAAAAGAACTTATTGCCGGTGACAGCTTATAAAGAAAGCTACTTCTGTATCAGCATAATTTTTTTCCATCTCTACCAAACTCTTAGGTCTAAATTAGATGGGAGATTGAATCGATGAAAAAATGCTGCAACTTACAAGGCATATTACTAACATTTCCACTTCATGTTTGAAATATATGATTTATATGGCTCAAATAAACTATAACTTGGTAATGGTAGGCCAAAAATATAAACTATTACTTAGAATACTATCTTATTGGTTAGATGTTGGTTTAACCCTCATTTTGTTCCCTTACTTTGGTGAAAGGCCCTGGTCCCTAAAGTTAAAAAAGCCCCTTTTTGGTCCTTTTGTCAATTTTTGCTGACATAGCACGTTATCTAACAGAATTTTTTGTATAATTTTTTTTTTTAAATGACATGGAAAAGAAAAATAGTAAAAAATAATGATATGGCATATTCTGTAAACAAATTAAAAATGAAATGGAGTTTTATAATACAAAAATGCTATAGTTACAATGTCATTTGACATTGTAAGCTTTACTACACAATGTGTTATTATATAATTGGTTCTTTTTATGTAAGGATTCACATGTCATTGTATGCATTCACCCATTTAATATCATATTATACTCATAATGCCATGCCATGATTGTAAGCTTACAATCCTACATGGCATTGCATCCATAGCATTGTCATCGTTTATAATACGCTTATTCACAAATTGGGACCCATTTGGCCATTTATATTAATTAAAATATAAAATTAATTATGAAAGGTGAATTTATGCATTTGCCCTTTCCCTGTCGTCTTCAACCATCATTCTCCCTTTTTCTCCTCATCTACTCCGCCTAAATCTCTTTATCTGACCTTATTAATAACATTTGTTGCAGCATTGCGTCAATTGCTGGGCAAGAACCTTTTCAGTTTGATAGCAAGGAAGAGGAGGCGGTTGAGAGCATGGTGGCAATTTTGCAGGAGTCCAATTTGACAAAGGCATTGAAGGTGTTCAATGAGGATGGGAACAGATTCATCTCGGGGAAAGAGCTGCTGGTGGAACCAGAGTGGACTCCTTTCTTCTTTCATCTCCTCTTATCTCTTCCTCCACCTAAACTAGATTCTATCTCTTTCCCTGTCCTCCTTTGATGAAACTAGATCTGGCCGAATTTAGCAAGGCGACAAGGGTTGGGTCAAGATTAGGGCTGTCAACGAATTGAGTACCTAGGTACTCGTGGTTGAGCTCACTTAAAAATTCGAACTAGAGCACAAGTTGAGCTTGAGTATTTGTCAAGTTTAAAATAGTTGAGTTCATAATCACAGTCATGAGTATTTGAGCGAGTTTGAGTTTGTTCGTGAGCTTGAAAGAGTATTTAACTTGAATTCTAGTTTTTTTTTTTTTCCTATAATTCCAAAATGTTTCAATAACTAGTTATTTAGCTATAAATTTTTCTACATTTTTCAATAATATTGTAGTACCAAAAGTTTGAACATATTAAGTCCAACAAAAATACAACTATAAACTCTATTTGAACATTTTTATTAATAATTATAACCTATTTATCTTTTTAGCCTTATTAAGTTTTCAAGTTATTAAATATTTAAATTTAACAAATAAATATATTATATAAATTTCAATTTTGACCGAGTACTCACAAGTAGCTCATGAGTAATCATGAAAGAGCTTTTTTTTTTTCCTTTTATCAAGCTCAATATTAAGCTCAAGCTCGATTTGTTTACCAAATGAGTTAGCCCAAATCGAGCTTAATTTGAATAGTTCACGAGTTACTCACAAACTCCTCTACTCATTAACAGCCCTAGTCAAGACCTCAACAATTGAGCAAGGAAGCCTACGCCAAGCCCTTGACAGTTGGCAAGGAAACCTGCACCAAGCCCTTGACAGTTGACAAGGAACCCAGATCTAGGGTCCTCTGTTGTGTGAGGGTTGAGCGTCTGGTTCCTCGTGGTTGCCATTCACGCACCCATCAGCCTGCTTGCCAGATGGTGACCTTCCTCAATTGAGTTGTTGTCAATTCCACAAGATTGTAGTTATTGCCCCAATCAAAACCTAAAATTTTTTATTGAATGTGTTATGCTCCTTTGGTTGCTGGGAAAATTAGAGAAAAGAAGAGAAAATTGAAAGTAACAATTTACAGTGGAGATTTGTTGTGAAAATTATGCATTTTTTTTGTTGTGATTAGCCTCAAATTTGCAGGGAAAAAGTGTTAAATTCAAGATAAACTTGAAACTTAGATCAACTTTGAAGAACATAATATAATTTTGGGGGTTTTAATTTTTTTAAACGGTTAATTTAAAGTTAGTAAATGATTAATTAAAGAGAAATAGATTGTTAGTTATTTATGTAATTAGTTAAATTAATCATGTTTTAACTCGTTAAAAAAAACAAGTGGCTAATATTTAATTTGAATTTAAATTGTGGGTCCAATGTTTACGTGTGGACTAATATTTTTTTCAATGTAATCATTTGTTACGGCATGGAATTTCCACGTCCTTTATAACAAAATTGAAAGAGATGATTTAAAGATGATTCTCTTAATTAACAGGACACAATATCAAAAGCTTAATGGAGAGACAAAAAGAGGTAGGGAAAATAAACTTTTGGAACTAAAAAGAGGCTTTTTCAAGTTTAGGGGTCAAAGAGTGGTTTTCACTAAAGTACAGGGACCAAAATGGAGTTTTAACTTTAGATGTTTAACTTACTAAAAAATTTAAAACATAAATTATATATATATATATATATTTTTTGAACAGGTACAATTTAAGTGTAGGAGATGGGAAATTGTTGCATGGCAACGCTATGTTTGAACCTTAGTCATTGCCGAGGCATTGGGCGCATCTACCAAGTGGCCCATGAGGCCGGGTGCAAAACATAAATTATATATGTGAGAACAAGGGATAACTAATCAAATGTTTCCGAAGAGTTTGTCTTGAAAGACTAATTCAATAACATTTTTCTGGTACAAAAACTCAGCAGGTGTGGGGAGTATCGCAACTTCACATGGAAAGATTGAATTCTGAAAGAAGGATAGATGTGTTTTACTCTGAAAGACTAGATAATAGATATAAGATGAAGATTCAACAAAACAGAAAGAAGAAGCTCTGTTCTTAGCGGTCAAGAGTAACAGTATCACACAGAGAAATATTCCTAAAAATCAAACAATGCTCAAGACTTGCTAGTAGTACTAGCGTTTAACCAGGCTGCCAGAGCGGAGATTGATTTCTGCAAAGCTCACATTGAGCCAAGCTCAATATTCAGAATCACTCAGCTTGTTGGCACACCTAGTGAGGCCACAAAGGACCAACACAACTTCCTCGACTCATATAATGGTTGACAAACTCTTCTTATAACTGCTGACTAGCATAGCTTGATAATTTCTCTTCCCAAAGCACTAATAGATTAGCTTGAGTCAGGATACCTTACACATGTAATAATAAGGTACTCTTACACGCTTATAATTTTCAATATAGTTAAATCATTTCAGAAGCCAACTGTTAAATTGATTGTTCTATTCATATAGATAATGCTTGTCAAATTTCAAGTTGATAAACCATGTGTAACCATTTAATCCAAAAAACCATATAGCATGTATTTAACAGCATTGAATTTTGTGCAAATTAAATATATTCAATCAACTTGAAATTTGGCGTGCATGATCTACATACAGATGCATTTAATTCAATAGTTGGTATTTTGACTTCTTATTCCTACACGTACAAGTTGATCCTAACTCTATTATCTATATATTCATTCACTTAATAAACTTGCAAACTGAACATTGCTATGACTTCAATATTAAAAGTGGAAACTCATCAAATAACTAGAAACTACCATCATTGCAATAATGGAATTCTTTTATTTATTTATTTATTTTTCATCCAAAAATGGAATTGAATATATGTCTAAATGTTTGGTAAAGCTTTTTAACAAACTTGCTTTTAAGCAAGTTTTTCTCTCATAAATTGGAAAATCTGTTGGAGTGATAACTTTAATTTGGCCTTTTAAGTGGCTTATAAGCAACAAATATTAAGAAAGCTTCAAGCAAGTTTGCTCAAAAGCTCCACCAAATAGCTCCATAAGTATGTGGAACTAAATATCAACAAGAGCTTATTCAAGTTGGTAACCACTAACTCCTAAAAACCTTGATCTTGGGTAAAGGTTAGGTATTCAAACTTCTACCATGCTAAGCAAACTAACAAAAAAATGAAGCAAAAATAAATGGAAACGTGTAAAGAATATAAAATTTTGTATCACAACCAGAATTAGTAATTGAAATGATGGCTAAAAATAGTAATTGAATTTTTTGGACAAAAAAGTTTAAAGAAACAGGCAATCCATGCCATCACCTAAAGTGTTAGTATCACCAGGTGTGGTCATGATGAATAATATCTGCAGTTTCATCTAAAAGAAATAGATAATTAATAACTAATTGAACATTCAAAGTAAGAAGTGATGTTATGTGATAATTACCTTAACTTCTTCGAGCCATAATTTCTTCAAGTCTGGATCTGCAAGTATGACAGAGACAATGAGCGCACCATGAACAGGTGGATTACTGTACATGGGTCTGGCAAGCTGCTGCAACTGACTTTTTGCAGCCACAGCTTGTTTCTCATCTTCACAGAGCACACTGCCAGTGATAACCAGTGATAATACAGTATGAGAGTCCTTTCTTTGTAAATTTATCTATGGGAAAAATAATCATCTTGCAGGGTTATTTTTAGATGCCTGATCCATCACTGCTTGCATAGATGACATTTTGATGTAAACACCTCTATATACTTCTTACTGAGAAGGGAGTTTGGAATTTCCATGTAGTTCTATGGCTATGGCTATTTTTGTATTGTGTTATCACAAAAATTATATTAGCGTTTGATAATTATTTTGAAAATGTTGTATATCTATATAATTATTACTAAAAAATATGCAAAACAATAATTAAAATTAATTAATTTTAATAAATTAAAATTTTTAGTAGTGTGGTATGCAAAAAAATGCTATGTGAAAACAATCCCAAACATAGCCTTGGGTTTTATTGCTAAAAAAAAAAAATGTATCCATAGTTTGCTTTGTCCATCTCCTGTTTTCCATCATAGCCATAGGGCATCCTAAATGTGAGCAAATTAGACAGCACATTTTCCAACTGGTGAAACTCGGAACTATCCTAACACACACTCCTTTGCTACAACAGTTAAAAAGTTGATAGTTTTCTATCATGGATAACTTAACAAACTGCTCAATCACACTTTACTTCAAGAAAACATGGAACAAAAAGAAACTTATTTGTTTTTATAGAACTGATTTCTTATGGGCAAAATTTTCATTATAAGTTTAATGAAAAAACTCCACAAAAATGGACATAACGAAACTGCAAAATTCGGTCAATCAAACACAGAATCCTGAAAACCACATAATTCTAAGAATAGCAAGAATATCCTGTATCCAAATTATCAGGTTTAGAAAGCCAAAGAAAAGTAACAGTTTTCCAGTAAAAATAAAGAATTGTGAAAATAGCTTAGACTACTTGGATTGCCAACATCTGAACATCTACCATTAGCCATAGCTGAGGAAATATGGCTAAGGATAAAACAATTCAAGATATGGATAAAACTATAATTTACAGTTCATCCTAATAAGTAACAATGAAGTCATGTTCACACACAAACTCTACCTTAATGGCAATGGTAAAATAACATTGCTTCTACCTCTTATAGAAGATGGGCATCAAAGAGAGGATCAAATTATTATCGTATCTACACCAACATGCCCAAGCATGACTAGAGAAGAAAGATATCCAAAAAGAATAAGCAAAAGAAATGTATAAAGCTTTTCATTCAGGTGATAAGAGACAATTACCTGAGGCATCCTACCCTCTGACCATAAAGTCCCATATTCTTTGCATATGATTGGGCAATTCCAATGTGATGACCATCCTCAAGAAAAATCCTGATGGACTTAGCATCTCTCTCTGGATCCCCACTAGCAAAACCTTGATATGCCATGTCAAAGAAGGCAAAGTGACCCTTTACCTATAAACAACAAAATGTTGAACAAAGCAAGTGTGCAATGAGAAATTAAAAAGAAAGACCTTGGAAGTGCATGAAGTTTTTGATATGTAAAGAACATTCAAAAAATGAAAAACAGAACTTTTTTTGAAAGGCATTTACCTTGAACTGGTGAGAGATCCGTCTCCAATGTTCCTCTGAAGGATCAACACCGGTAGGATTGTGTGCACAAGCATGGAAGAGAAAGAATGAACCATTTGGAGCATTCTTTGCAGAAAAATGGAAGAGAGATTTAGCAATGAGGTTATGACTAAAAGGTCAAGGGGAGTACAATTGTAAAAAGAAATGAAGAGTTTAATGTTACTTCAAATGACAATGATTCAAAACAAGAAAGCCATGGGTAAACCTTTATGTCATCCATCAGTGCTGCAAAATCTAAACCCCTGGATTCTGGGTGATAATAATGATATGTCTTTTGAGGGACCTGGGCATCTCTCCAGATATTATGGTGGCTGTTAAAAGAAGATGTAACAAGAACATAAATTAATTTGTCCACAAAAAATGAGGGGAGAAGAGAGGACATTGTTAAAAGAAAAAGTAACTGAATCTCACTTGGCCCATGTTGGCACTGGTATGTAAATTTGTGAATCAGGACGGAAACGCTTTTGAAAGTTTGCAAAAAGTCGGCATGCACCAGTCCCAGACAGGGACTGCACTGCTGCTATCCTCTTATCTTTTATGAACTCAGAACTCTCACCATAAGCCAACTTCAATGTTTCTTCAACCATCTTCACACTCCCACCCATAGGAAGATATTCCCTGAGGAAAAGAATAGCCACTGATTAGATCATGTACATCAGAATAGCAAAAGGTATAAGAAAAGTAGTAAAAGTAGTTAGTAAAACCCTCCAGATCAGCCCTCAACTTATTTTGTTGTTGTAGATCAACCCTTTTAAGAAAAAGGGTGCACAAATTGTATCCTCAACACTTCCAGTTGGAGAATTAAGCCTACATTCAAATAGTCACTCTTTTGCAAATGTGACTTTTTCATGTGCCATATTTAAAATATGTATCGTGCTTAAAATACACAGAATTCACTGATTTGCCTTAGTTTCTCAATCATTAATTAACTAGCATTTCCAACCTACCATGCAGGTTGTTGGGAATTTTTTATATTTTAAAAAAAGAAAAAAATTTGTAAATCCATAATGTATAAGCGGAAGAAACCAAAAGAAAAAAAAGGAAACAAAAACATTGTGAAAGAAGAAAATGGCAAAAAAGGGCCTTAAATGCTTTAGATGTGAAAATGGTTTAGGAGATAAAATTGAACTGCAACGTAAGTATTTCAACATAAATATCCATTAATAAAAGCCCAAAAGTTGCCAAAATGCACAAAAATGCTGTATGCCTCCCTCTCACAAAGCCTTGTTACTGTAACAAATGTGAGAGACATTAACAAAAGCCCAAAAGTTGCAAAAAATCATATAAATGCCACCCTCTCACAAAGTCCTGTTAATTATAGCAAATGTGAAAGGAAGCTGTTTTTGCAATTTACTTCTTTACATTTTACAATACTGCCATCCAATCCAACATATTTTAGAGATAGGAACATATGAGAAAGATAGGGGTAGAGTTGTTTTAAAGAGATATAGGAAAAGAAGAGAGAGGCACTACCCTGCTTATTACTATACTTAGATTTTATTACTAATACACATCCTTGATCTGATTTAATTATCCCATTATCCAATCATTATTATTGAGAAACTCCTTTTTTATTATTATTACAATAATAATGAGTGAAACTATAAGGGTAGTATTTAATGTCTCCTTAAAATGGGAAATTAGTCAACTCCTCAATGTGGTAAGTAGGACAACTAAATCAAATTAGAGGGACTAATAAACTAAATAGCTTTAAATTTTAATAATTGAAGAAAAAAAACACAAAAAAAAGGAAAGGAAAAATGTCATTTGCACCCAAGAAAAGCCATCAACAGAATCACCTCTGACTTTGGAAATAAACCAGGAAAAACCCCCTGAAAAATAAGAAGAGGAAAGAATCCATAAAATGGAGTCACCTGTGGCTCTAGCTATAGACCAATGGTGGTCATTGTGCTCTAACGACTAACATCACAGCTGGAGCACCATAGGTTTGTTTGGATTTGGAAAACTATAGATCCAAACATTGCTAATGGGCTCCAATCGAAGCTCCATATCGATTTGGATACTCAAATCCAGATCTAGATAGAAGAACTTTGAAGCTAAAGGGGCTCCAATGCACTTAAGGGATTTATTCAGATATCTAAATGGTACTCCAGCACCATGATAGTGTCTGCCAGAGTACGGTGACCAAAAAGGGAAAACTGCAAAAAACATCTACATATAAATTAAATGTACATATATTTGGCACATCAACATAGGAGGAAGATTTTTTCCAAATTACTGCTAACAAGAAAGAAAAGTGACAACTGACACCACACATTAAATTTGGGATTATTTCTCCATATCAAAATGTTGAGAGGGCAATTTCTACATGCTATGTTTGAAGGTTTGATCTGAAATGACAGGATAAGATGAGGACTGATTTTGGAGATTTATGAAAGAATATCTGAAAGTTCCAAGACAGCATAAATTTGCCCTTTCAAAGAATTAAATAATCAATACAAGTGCAACCATAAGCTGCTACAATTGAAGAAGGAGATTATTTATTACAATTTTAGATTTGAAACTACATATGTGCAGCACACATGCACATCCTCATGAAAAGTTAAACGATGATAATGAAGCCAATGGCTTAGTGATAATGTCTCCAAGTAGAGTAGGAGAACCTAAGTCTGAGTCATAGGCATGCGAGTGGAGTGGGTAAAAGGGATGGGAGAGAGTTGTCTCCCATTTGCAATCAAAATAAAAATTAAAATTAAAAAAAAAATGATGATAGTGAAAACCTGATTCATGTCCATACATGCACAAGGAGGTTGTAAGGAAAAATTATCAATATTTGGCAATTAATTTGAGATAAGAGCTAATCTAGTGTATGTTTATCATTTTTATATTTATTAGGATTTATATCTTTTAATAAAGACTCCTATTTGGAGTTTAAGTCTAATTAGGGTTTAAGCTTTTCTATTTGAAATTAGGTTGCATCAAGCTTATTCATTGTTGAATACGAATTAAGGGCCTCTTCGGTGCAACAATTGAAATTTAGCAGATAACAGTAGCAGAGTAGCAGTAGTGGGGGGAAAATAGCTAATGTTAATTGAAATTACCATTTGATTATGTGATGATTAGTTATTTGATGTTAAAGGACTAATAATGACATTTAAAATTGGTTAATTAGGTATTATTATATTCTCTATCAAAAGATTGAAAACATTAATAATAATAATAATAATAATAATAACAATAACAATAATAATAATAATAACAACAACAACAACAACAATAACAATAATAACATGAAATTACCATTGAACATTAGAGAAATTAATTTTTTATTTTCAAATATAAGAAAAAAATTATTAAATACATTGTAATCATGTTTGCACTTTAAAAAGAAGATAACAATAAATAAATCAAAATAAGAAACAAAAGAAATGGGATCTGATTTCAGTGTGCATTTAACCCATGCCCTATAGGACAATTGAATAAATTCATTTCATTTTATGATTCTGTCAATCAAAAAAAGATATAGATTGTGATTTTTTTTGAATTTTTTAATGGGAAATTTTGCCTAACAATTTAAAAAAAATCAATCTACTAGCAATTTGGGATAAAATGCTACTTTAGGTAGCTTTTTCAATCCGCTAGAGATTTGACATCTAACTACTAAATGCAACTTGCTAATAAAAAATTTTGCCTAATTCTTCTTAGTGGTTTGAAAATCAAAAAATTTACCAAACACCTATTATATAGCTATTTGCACCAAACTGCTAACCCCAAACCATTATACCAAAAGGGCCCTAAGTCTTCCAAAAATTCACTAATTCTGCAGTTTTCTTCTTGCCTTTGACTTGTTTCATACAGTTCTTAGAAATCCTATAGTAGGTAAAACCACCCAACAAGTCAACCATCTCAAGCCCATTGCTTCTCCTCAGCAGTTCTGCACAATCAAAGTTCAGGCTCCAGAAAATAAGTAGTAAACACAAGGGAAAGCTTTTGAACAACGGTGCCAGATTTCACTTAATGGGAATCTGTTCAGATACCAGAGTCCAAGCCTTTGACCAGGTCAGATTTGATTTAATGAGTTTATGGGTTTTTTTTGCGCTTTAAAGATGAATTCTATTAAAAAGTTAAAAGCTTATTTATGAGTTGGAAGATAATATTCAAGTTCAAGTTAAATATGATGGGATACTTTATTTATGTGATTTACATTGTAACTCTCCTAATTTCTTTCTTCCTTGTTACAGGAGAGGCACCATTTGCATGATTATTTGATTAACATAAATTTACTTCTTGAAAGAGAAAACTTTGTTGAAGAAATAGGCTGGAGGATTGAAATGTTGGAAAAAGATAATCAAGAGGCCACTGTTTGTTTATGAAATGCTTAATTTAAGATCAAGGTAACACCCTTCAAGAATTCCTGCTACATCTTTTTTTAATTGGCGTGCTCTCAAGAAAGATGTACTTGACGATTAGAGAAAGCTTGGGATACGAAAAGAAGAATATGCCAATTAGATGGAGCTATTTCAAGACGTACAAGAAGTAAACAAAACCAAATTTGAGCCAGAAAACTATTTATAGGAAAACATGTCATCTGCTCTATAAATTTCCAAGGAAGAGATGGTGATGGTGAATACATAAATGGTTATTGAGGCTACACTAAAAAATTCTTTAGAAAGTTTAATTGACCGAAATATTCATGATGCACATGAGGATGTTGCAGAAAGTTTGGAAGTTGCAAAAATGCTTGAGTTGAAGAAAGGAACTAGGATCATGACGTAGTATATGAATTCTTCAAGAAATGACGTTGGATTCCAAGGTGGAGATTGATCTAGGTCTTGGAAAGGACTTGGATGTTGAAGAACCATGTGAAGAAGTCCGCAAAATAAATTTGGTTAATGAATTGAACATAAGAATTGTCTTGTAGCAAACTTAGATGATGTTAATTGGTATCCTACTTCTCAAGATGTTCAAGATGCCCTAGTGGTCAAGGAGACTTGGCATCCATGCCAACAGCCACCACACTCAGAATACACATACATTGACCCAACAGCCACCACACTCAGACTACACATACATTGACCCAATCAACATACTTCAGCATCCTTCTCAAAAGGGGTCCCATGCATAACTGGACTATAATATATCTAAGCTTACTATGGTACAACTTTCTAACTAGAAGTCACATTAGCTAACTAACTTCATTCATTATTATTACAACCTAGTGTTGTATAAAGTACTTGGCGACAGTGGGCGTTGAGCGATTGCCTCCTAAATGACCTCTTTCAAAAATGCAAAAAATAGAAATAAATAAAAAGTCAGTGCTAGGTCTAAAAATATATCCTAGTGCTTAAAAGTGTTGCAAAAATAGACTTCACTGACATCGCATACTGTTTAAAAAAGCTACAAATAAGTCCTAGGTGCCTAGGTGAGGTGCCCAGCAATTACCTAGCACCTAAGCTATGCCTAAGCGCCCTTTTTGCAACAGCATTACAACCCTTTTACATTTAGATTTGCAAGATTTGGATTCTTTATGGTTTTCTTTATATATTTATTCAATGTGTCCTCCATTGTCAAAGTCACTGTTGTAGCCACTACTTTCTTCTCACAATCATTGTTGAGGACATAGGTGAGACAGTGAGAGGGCAGATACTTGATAGTGGAAGCTGGCAAAATGCCAAATCTTCAACTCATATTTAAATTCATGAACAGACCATAAAGATGCAGATTCATGCATGTCAGGATAAGAATTTCCATACACAAATCTTCAATGCTTACCATCACATTTTCCATAACAAACAAAGAATGTTATATTCCAATCCAATGTAAAACTTACATGTTCATGTTCCCAGCAATCCTTCGCTCAGCTTCCCTAACGCATTCAAGAACAACAGGCTTTCCATTATCATCTCGGTAAGCACCCTAAGGCATTAATACAAAAGAACCATCAATTTTTTTTTCCTTTTATGTTTCAAAAGAAAATGCCAAAAGAACCATACATGGTCTATTCAGTCCCATTGGACAAAAGCATCTTATGAACCATCCTTACATTTAAGAGGAAAAAAATTCCACTAAATTGCCATGGAAAAAATAAAAAATAAACAAACACTACTAAAAAATAAAAAATAAAATAATATAATCCATTTAACTGCAGCTAGGTATTACAGTATACTTTTGGTAAAGAACGGGACAAAAGCTCACATAAATTTTTTAATGTGAAATAATCAGATTTGTAGTGAGAGACCATCAATGCTAGAACATTTGAAAACCCCAGAATTTTGTAGGGAGTACATTATATTTTTGGTATAAAACCTCCAAGGCCCATGAGGCACCAAAAAAAGAAAAAAACCAATAGAGAACCGAAAATTGACTAGTTGCTACTACTTTACCAGATGACCGTTTGATTCTCGTGACCATAAAGGGGAGGGGGAGGGGCAACATGTTTTCAGTGTTTTCGTCCCAACTTTTCAGCTGATTAAGTAGAAACCAACTTTTATAATCTCAGATCCACGAAAATGAGCCGATGAAATTTATCTCGAGTGTATCACCACTTTTTCAAAAGTCCATATTATCCTTGTTTGTTTTCCTTCTCTCTCCACTCTTCCCCTCTTGATCACCTTTGACTCCGGCAACTCCAGGTTAAAACCAACTTTGAACCCCTCACCTTCCAAAATTAGTAAGTTTTAGCTCCTAATCTTATAATATGACACATTTAGTTTTTTATCTTACCAAGTTGTTTGGTTTTAACCTCTTACCTTGTAAAGTTGATAAGTTTTAACTTTTCACTTATACTATGACACTTCTAACCCCTTCTCTATACAAATTGAAAAAAATAACCTTCATTTAATATCAAATTATAATATTCTATTAGTTCTATTAGTTGACTGTCAGTTATGTTAGTTGACTGTCAGTTCTATTAACTGATTGTTAACATCCGTTAGCATGCTGTTAATGAAACTAACATATAAAATTAAATTTAAATTTTATATTTTTCTATAACGGAATGCTAACGAATATTAACAATCAACTAACAAAACTAATAGAATATTATAACTTGATGTTAGATAGGGTTATCTTCCTTAATTCGTATAGGTGAAGAGTTAAAAATATTATAATATAAAGTGAAGGGTTAAAATCTATCAATTTTGTAAAGTGGGGGCTAAAATTTATCGACTTTATAAAATGAAAGGTGAAACCTACTAATTTTATAAGGTAAGGAGTGTAAAGTGTCATATTATAATATAAAGGATTAAAACTTATCAATTTTCTAATCTAAGGAGCTAAATATTAGTTTTTGCCGCAACCACGAAGCCGAGCAACAACGGACAACACTGCCCACTAGCAATGTTGTGCGTGAAAATGCACTGGAGCTTTTCTAATTTTCGATTGCTTTTTAGATCTATGACTTGGGCAAATGCTAGACCTAATGGAGTGGCTCTCGCCACCACAAACCACTCCAAACAATTAAAACACTGCAAAACTAAACACAAACCCCATAGCCATCTTAATTTGGGTGTAAACTTTCCCAGTCAAAGTCCCTCGAATCCCCCTCATAAACAATTAATTAAACCCAACGCTTTAAAACCAAGTAAAATAAAAACTCACACAAGAATGAAATGGGGACTGGCAGAGAGTTCATCAATAATTCTCTTGATATTGAGACTGCGAAGCTAAGAGAGCTAGCAACCGGCTGTCCTTTTTCTTCTTTACCAAATTTAGTTTAAAGGGTATTTCAGACATTGCACCATGTGACCATCACAAACAAGTGGTGTTTAGAAACACTTGTGAGAGAATTGGTTCACAATTTCCACTATTTTAAAACAAATTTTGGGTTCTCCACTTAATCTCAAGAAAAAAAAATCCAATAAAAGAAGATTTTCCAAAAAAGAAAGACTCACTGAAAGAAGATTTTCCACTAAAATATATATATACATATATATCACCGTATTGAAAACACATGTAGCTCAAAATAAAAAGTAAAAAATAAAAACTGACACGGTTTATTTTTAGTTTAAAAAAGAATTGTTAAAATGAATTCGGTGTTTTACAAACTATAGTAGGGACCAACACCCATAATTAGGGACTCAGTCTGTCATTCCAAATTTTTTTTACCGTTTTTGACTGCAGAAAAATAGAAAACATTTTTGTTGCGTTTAAAACTCAAAAATAATTTAATAATTATTTTTTTTATTAATAATAAAAAATATTAAATTTAAATCACATAATATATAATTAAATAAAATAAAATAAGAGAAGATGTTTTTTTATTGTGTAATTAAAATAAAAAAAAAAACTTAAAAATATGATTTATTTGAGTCTTTTTAACACATTTTTTTCCGCAAATTGACCGTCGGATGATATTTACATATTATGGACAAACAACAGAAAAATGTGAGGGATGAAAATGAGACAAAAATATATTGTTAGCATCCTCATGAACCACCCAAAAAAATTTTATTTATTTAAATTTATAATAAAAAAATCACACAACCGAACTAAACAAAATTAATATTTTGAGTGGAGAAAACGCAGTTAAAGAAATTTTTTTCAAAGAAAAAAGAGTTTTGTGTTCTGTGCAATAAACAGTTAAAGGTGTATTAATCCTTTTACCTTTATATTTTTTTATAAAAATTAATAGTAAAAACAAAAAGGTACACCTTAACCATTACCTTCGAAAAATAAAATAAAATAAAAGCCGATCACGAGGATCCTTTTCTTTGTTGTCATCAGAGAGTAGCTAGTATAATAAAACTTGAGGAGAAGAGAAACTGATTACTCACAACTCCAACGTTAACTTTGTTTGGATTGGGATCCGCCAAAAAGGCTTCGGTGACGCCGAGAATCGGATCCTTGGGAGCTGGTTCGACGCTGCGCCACCACGAAGACATGGATCTCACTCCTAGAAACCGCGCGGAAACCGATCGTCGGATCGCCATCGCTATTGATTAATTTAACGGTAGCTCTAGCTCTCTCACGCTCCAGGTGAAGTGACCAAGCAGAAAGAGAGCTGGTGATAAAATATGTGGAGTAGCGAAGCGAAATTGAAACTGCAATTTGACAATTTGTTGCAACGGCCTTGAAATGCGTGATGATGGTCCAATCTATATCTGAAATAAATGCTCGCTCCGTTAATTTTTTAAGGGGATCTAATTTTTTTATTTAATAAAATAGCTATTTAATAATTTATTTTTAATTAAATTTATTTAAATAAAATTTTTATTTAATATATATTATAATTATTTTTTAAAATAAAGGTAAAATATGAATAAATGTATTAAATTATTTTTAAAAAAATAATTATTTAAATTTAAATTTATTAAAAATGAAGAGAGTAAATAAAAAGTGTTTTAATATTAAAAGTTTTTTTTACGCATTTATTATATTTTTTATTATTAAAAATAAAAATTAACATTAATTTTATTAATAATTTAATTAAAAATATTCATATAATGACATAAATCTTAAAATTAATATTAATTTTTTTAATTTTTTATATAAATTAATATATAAAAGTATATGTTGAACAAACTTAACATCAAACTCTGGCTATACAGCCCTATCCCTGGTATTAGAGGAATATGAGAGTAGTAAAGCTACAGATAACCATATTAATTTTGTTGCCTTTTCTATTTAATTAATGATATAATATTTTTAGTTTTTAAATCATATTATTATTTTTGAATCTTTTTAAATAAAAATATAATGTGTTTTCTATTTAAAGATTTCTTACCTTTGTGGGCATCGTCACAACCATCCACCAAATTCTTAAACAAGCAAAGTTCCTGCCTTATTTTGAGAAAATCAAAAAGGTTAAAAGCCCATTTTGGTCCCTAAACTATTGTACGTACCTTCAATTTCATCCCTAAACTTAAAAAATCCTTAATTTGATCCATATTGTTTACCATTTTTACCTTGATTTGGTCCTTTCGTTAATTTTTCACGTTAATTGACGCCAAATATAGAAGAAACATTACATGTCACACAAAAAAATTGCCAAGTTGGCAAAAATAAATGACACAGCCATTCCAGCTCATCTCACCCAAAAAATTGTTTTTTTCCTTCCTCTCTTTCATCTATGCTTCTTCGACTTCTGCAAACCCTCTACAAACCCTAAGATTTCAACCAATTTGTAACATCTCAACCAATCTATTCATTTCAACCAATTTCTACTCTCACTAGGTTCATCATCATCATCATCAAACAATAAAACTCACCAAAAAAACAAAATTTTATTTAAAAATTTTTTGCTCATAAATTCTTTCGAACCCAACAGCACCCTTTGTTTCTCCTTCCATTTCCTTACCTTGCATTCTTCATCAATCAATTCTTCATCGTCATCAATCAATTCTTCATCATCATCAATCAACAAAACCAAAAAAAAAAAAAAAAGCAAACTCAAACCCAAAAATCCTAGGTTCGGTGGAACCCAGTGCATGGGTTTGAAGGAACTCGAGCCTAGGTTC